GCCGTGACGTCACCGCCCCGCGCCCGTTATCTCCATGGCGACGCTGGCGCATCCCGGCGTCGCTCCCATGGGAACGGCCCGCGTGGCGTCCCGGGAACCGCGGGAACCGGGGGAGAGGGACCTGGCGCTGCCCCGGCTCCGCTGTCCCGGATCCCTCCCTGCGAGGGAATGAATGCCGGCTCGGCAGTGCCGGGAACAGCCCGTGGCGATCCCCCGGGAAAGGCAATCCCGGCTCCGGTGTGCCAGGAATTCCAGGTGAGTGACCTGGATTCGGCGCTGGGCGAAATGAAAGCCGGGAGAGTTTCCCAAGCCAGGGACTGCCATCCCCATCCAAGCTCGCTGAGAAAACCGGGAACTGTTCCACACTGGATCCCAACTAACCCCAAAGTTTTTTCCCTTTTCCAGCAGGACAACATGGAGCGTTTTTCTCTCTCTGAGCTCAGGCTCCCAACAGAAAACAAAGCTATCCAGGGAATTCTCTGTCCCATGGCGGTGGAGCTCTGCCACCTCCTCCTCGCCCTGGAAAGGGAAGATGGGATTTGTCCAGCCTTCCCCAATTTGGGGGAAAAGGCGAGAGAATTGGCCAAAGCAATGGAAGAACTCGCTGCTGTGGCGAGGAGGTGAGGCAGATGGGAGTCTCCCGGGTGGATTCGAGGGCTGGGAAGAGACGGAAAAGGTGGCAGGGAGCCTCCTGGAGAGGTGGGATTGGGAGCAGGGGATAGCCAGGAGAGCTGAGCCCAGTCCTTCCCTCGCAGGATCTGCGCGGATTGTGGCGCGGGAGGGAGCACGGAGCTGTGTCCCGTGGGTGAATCCCTGCTCCGGGCCGGGAGGGACGTGGCACTGGCAGCATTCCAGCTGCAGGAGCATCCTCACAGCCCTGGGCACCGCCAGCAGCTGGCAGCGGCCGCCAAGAGGAGCCTGGCGGAGACAGCAAAGGTCAGGGGCACACCGGGAAGGGACACGAGCAGGGGAAGCTCCGGCAGACCCACGGAGCCAGCCGCAGCTCCTCCCCGCTCCAGGGGTGGAAGGGGAACGGCAGCTCCTGACCTGAGCGGTGTTTCTGCCTTGTTTCCTGCCTAGATCCTCCAGCTGGAAGAGGCTGCGGGGCTGAGGAGGATCGCTGGCGCTGCCAGCTGGCTCCTGGAATGCCTGGGCGAGCTGCGGGATGCCCAGGACGCTCCGGGGCTGCTGGATGCGTTCCAGGCCTTCTCCCAGGCCCTGCTCCGGCTGAGCCGCCTCACGGCCGAGCGCCTCCAGCAACTCGGAGACTGTCCCGGAGGGAAGAGCTTGGCCCAGAGCCTGCAGCTGCTCCACCAGTGTGTCCCGCTCATCCACACAGCCCTGCCACGCTCCAGGGATCGCCAAGCTGACCTCTCCCAGGATTCTGTCTTCCAGCTGACCGAGAGCACCGTCAGGGGGCTCCTCTCCCAGCTCATGGAGCCCCAGGACAGGAGTGGGATCTTCTCCCAGCAGGTGAGCAGGCTCCAGGCTCTCCTCTCCCAGCCTGACGCCCTGCACCTCTCCGAGGGCGGGTTCAGCTCCCTCTTGGAAGCGGTCATTCTCCATGGAATGCTGCTGGCAGAGTCCTCCCGGCTGGACCTGCGGCTGGAGCTGCTGGAACGGTGCTGGGCGCTGCTGCAGCTGAGGAGGAGCATCCTCAGCCACACGAGCCGGAGGCAGGGGGAACAGGGACTGCCGCGGGAATGTCACAGCCTGAGGGAGCAGCTGGAGAACCTGGAGCGGGCAGCGCTCAGAGCCATGCTGTGCCAAATCCTGGATGGATTCTTCGAGGAGAAGGAGCCCCTGAGGCAGCTGCTTGAAGGTGTCCTTAGCCTTGCCCGTTCAGGACGTTTTCCTGCAGGACCGGGAGGAATTTTAAGGAAGCTCCAGCCCCTCACTGCCGCCTTCTTCGCCCAGGCCCAGCGGATGCTCCGAGCGGCCGATCTGGTCCTGGCCGGGTGTGCCGAGGCCCAAACTGCCAGGGAAATCCGGGAGGGCGTGGAGCAGCTGCAGAGCCTCCTGGGCAGCCTCCCTTCCCTGCTCACGGAAACGAGCGGGAACACCATGGAGAGGCTCCAGGCCCTGGGCCGTGCCTGGGCCGGAGCCACCGACGGCCTCCTGCGCTGCTTCGAGGAGACGGTTGGCGTGAGGGAACTCCTGGAGTTCTCCATCCTGGAGCTGGCCGAGCACAAGGAACGGTGCGAAGCGGCGCTGGAACGCCGCGATCCTGAGGGATTCTCCCGGCACGCGGCTCGCCTCACGGGCTGGGCGCGCTGGGTGGTCGGAGCCACCTCCCGGCACGTGGACGGGGCCACGGATCCCATCTTCAGGAATGGCATGCTGGTGTGGGTGGAGCAATTGGCCAAATCCATCCTGGAGCTGCGAGCAGTCACTGCCCTCATTCCAGGAAGGTTTTCCTGCCTCCAAAGCCGGGATGCCTTTTCTCAGGCAGCGAGCTCCCTGATGGACTCTGCTCTCCGTGTCCAAGCCGGGCTGGATGGCTCCAACCACCCAGAGATCCTCAGCCCGCTCCGGGAGCGAGTGCGGAGCACCGAGGTGGAAGAGGGGCTGGAGCTCCGGTCCCACACTGGGATACAAACCAGGACAGCTGAGGCAGCGTTCCAAGGAGATCTCCAAAGTCATCCATCTTCACCACCAGCTAGCTTCCGCCTGGATCCGTGGGAAGGGGAAACACACCCTGTCATCGCAGCTCTCCTGGCAGCATCCCGAGCCGGTGCCAGGGACGCCGTCCGTGCTGCTTGCTCCGTCCTGCTGGAGCTCTCCGATGGCTGCGTGGAAGCAGCACAGGAAGCGCTGCCCGTGGCCGAGCCCCCACAGCTCCAGGTGCTGCAGCAGCACCAGGATATCACGGCACTGACACCACAGATCATCAGCCTGACCACGGAAACGGCCCCCGGGCAGCTCTCTGCTCCAGGCAGGCTTCTCCAAATGGCACTCAGGCTCTCGGGAAGGATCCGGGAGACTCGGGAGTGCCTGGCGGCTGTGGCAGGCCCTTGGAATGCTCTGGCCCAGCAAGTGCTTGGATTTATCCTGTCGGGTGACTTTCCAAGAGGGAAGCAGGCTCTGGATGAGACCCTGCTGGGTTTAGCGGGAGCAGTGCAGGTGGCAGGAGACATTGCGAGCGCAGCCTGCGGTCAGGAAAACCCCAATCCCTCCCGTGGCCAGCAGAGCTTTCTGCAGCTCCAAGCCAAGTTTTCCCGTGCTCAGCTGAACACCAAAGCGTTCCTGGAGAAGGCAGCATCCTTCAGGGAATCCTGTGGGATGGAAAAGGCCGTCCTGGAGCTGTGTGGTGTCCGGTGGGCCGTTGGCATGCGTGTCCTGCTGGATGCCATGGATGGGTTTGTGGGCAGGGATGTCCTGTTCCTGGCGGAGCTGAGCAGAGCCGTGAGGAACAAAGCCGCCCCACGGAGCCTCCTGCCTGCTGTGGCTGAGAATTCCCTCAGGCTGCAGGAGGCTGCCCGCCTCTCCTACTTATCCTGCCCTGGAGACCACGGTGCCAGAAAAATCCTGGCGCTCCGGGAGGAGATCCAGGTGCTCATGGAAGCGCTGCTGGACGTGTCCAACACCCTCCTGCTCTCCCCACTGCCTACTGCCAGCTTGGCCATCCGCTTCGAGCTGCTGCGGAGGGACGTGGCCCTCAGGGCCAAGGCGCTGTTGCTCCACATGGAAAAGGTCAACATGGAACAGCTGCAGCTCATCCAGGATGTGGCTGGAGCAGCTCTGTCCAACCTCAGCCAAGAGAAGAGGGAGAGGAGCAAGGAAGGGTTGGAGAAGGCAAATCAGCTCATGGCTGATGTCCAGTGGGTCAGGAACACCCTCCGGGATGCTCTGGAGGCCAGTGCTCAGCTTGGGTCACAGCCTGACCCGCTGTCCGTGGCTGACCACCTGCTGATCCTCACAGCTGACCTGGTGGGAAGCGTCCAGCAGCACTTCAGGAGCCAGCAGGACACTGGGGATCCCCACCAGGACACCGGGGATCCCCGCCTGGACACTGGGGATCCCCACCAGGACACTGGGGATCCCCGCCAGGACACCGGGGATCCCCACCAGGACACTGGGGATCCCTGCCTGGACAGTGCAGTGTGGTACTGGTCAGCCAAGGCACACTACCTTGTCACACAGCTCCGGGTTATCCCTGGAATGGACAGGGATGTCCTGCAGCGCCTCACGGAATGCCTGCAGCGGGAACGCTCCCCAGGATCGCCCAAGGGCCCAGCTGCACTCTCCCCAGCTCCAGAGCCCACTCCAGAGGCAGCAGGAATTCATCCACGTGGGAGCAGAGGAGCGAGTGGAGCCGGGCGGGAAGCGGGTGAGCTGGTACGGGAGCTCTTTTTTCCCTGCTTTTTTCCCTGTCCATCATTCCTGTCGCTCCCAGCACGGAGCAGGAATGTGAGGGATGCTGGCAGGGCTGACCCTGGGCCACTCGGGCAGCTCAGGTTGCTGGCAGCCCTGGATTCCTGGACATCCGATCGGCCAGGCTCTCCTACATCCATCCCAATCCGCCATTTCAGAGGCAGGGGGGCTGCAGCACTCTCCCTCACAGCCTCACATTCCCTCTGGGAACCAGCAACTCCATTCCCATGGGTGTCAGGAGCTGGGAAAGGCCTTGGCACGGACCCAGGTCCCTCAGCAAAGTGCTGTAGAGCTCTAATTGTGCTGGGAATTAATTACAAGCCGTCACAGCTTGCAGGACACCCTACTCCCACTTGGAGATGGCTCCAAGGGCTTTGGATTTAGGGAGAAGGGCTGGTGGGAAGGTGGAGTGGACCCAGCAGGGGGTGAGCAGGTCTTCCACCAACTTCACTCACCAAAATCTCCTTCAGAAACACCCAGCTGGAGGAGACCACCCAGCATCGCCGTGTCCACACATTCCAGGCTTAGAATCTGCTCCCTTCCTGTCTCCACAGCACCGGGATGGCCCTTCCAGCATCCCCGCTGCAAAGCAGGAGACAGGAAACAGTGGCAAGTGGCAGGGTGGCCCCAGCCAGGTGTCCCAGGTGACCCAGGACATGGCCACGAGGATGCTCCACATGGCTCAGTTCCTGCGCAGGAAGGGCCCCATTGCGGTAGGTTCATCCCTCCCGTTCTCCCGTAGGATCACGGCAGCTCCATCCCAAATCCTTGTGTCACCCAGCTCCTGGGAGAGTGGCACCAGCTCTGTGCGAGCAAAATATTCCAAATTCTTTCCTCCTGGCTGGATGTGAGCTTGGCATCCTGTCCTTTCCTCAGGACGTACCTGAGCCTCCTGGACCCTTCCCTGTCCTGCAGGAAAAGCTTTTTTCTCCTTCTCTCCCCAGTCCCACTGATTTTTATCCCGTTCCAGAGCAAGGAGCAGTTTGTTGCCTGTGCCAGGCGGATGGTTTCCGACGGGCAGGTGGTTGTTAGGTTTGGGAACATCCTCGCCAAGCACTGCCTGGACCAGAGGTGCTCCGTGGAGCTGCTCCGCGCTGCCGAGCACACCCAATCCATCAGCAGCCAGCTCGCCATCGTGGCCAGGTGAGCTGGGATCAGCTCTCCAGGGGCATCCTACGGGAATCCCTTCTCCAGGGAATGCGGGTGGTGGTCCCCAGAGCTCCTAGGGGAGGTGGGTATTGGCCAAGAGTTGAGGAACCATTTGGAGGCCTCCCTTCCCTCCTTGGGTTTCCCCGCTCCGATGGCGCAGGGGATGAGCTGGGTTTGGAATAACAACGCTGTCAGAACGTCCAGTGTCCTTCCAATAAAATCCTTTGGAATGTCTTTGAAGGGTGAAGGCAGTGACTGGGGAGAGCAGGGCCTCCTCTGAGCTGCTGCTGAGCAACGTGCAGAACCTCATCCAAGCAGTCCAGCACGTCCTGAGGGCGGCCGAGGCGGCGTGTGTCAAAGTGAGTCCATCCTGGAATCGATCCCAGAATTATTGGGGTGGGAAGGGTTGCTCCAAGGCTCTGTCCAACCTGGCTTTGAGCAGTTCCAGGGGTGGGGCAGCCACAGCTTCTCTGTGCCAGGGCCTGCCTGCCCCGCACAGGGAAGGGTTTCTCCCTAACAGCAGCAATTCCACGCTGCGGGAGCTTCTCATCCAGGTCTTTCTACGGGAGCTGGGATCTGGCTGCTGTGGGATTCCAGCTGCAGCAAATATTCCTCCTGGAATTCTTTCATCTTGTGCCTTTCTACCTCAGGCGTTGCCTGTCCTTGAAGTCACCTTGACCTGGTCTATTCCCCACTTAATTTTTGGATCGCAGAGCACCTTTTCTATGGAATTAGTCCATGCTATCCTCTTTAATCCCAAAAGCCAGATTCCCAAGAGTTTCCCATGCAGCTGCCACCAAGTCTGTGGCAGCAGATTTTTCCAGAAAACAACTGGAAAACAAGTGCAAACACCACCAGCTTCTCCCCGAGGCAGCACTTCCACCCGAATCCCACCGCTTTTCCTGGGATCAGCGTCTCTTCCTGGACGCAGGATTTTTAGAATCCCATTTGCTGAACAATCAGCCCCGAGGGTGACAAAGCTCCTCCCGCGCTTAATTAAACTTAAAGCTTCCTCTATTTGCCCATTTTTTCACTTCGCTGATGCCAGCCTGGAGTAATTAATCTATTTTAAAAATTAATTAATTAATTTTGACTATCTAGATCCTCAAGTCCTTTATGACCTGGAAATTTCCCTTTGGAAAATTCCCTGTTTATCAACAGACTGCCCTCCTTTCCTGTCCCTGTAGGAAGCTTTTGAGGCATTCTGAAGCACTGAGAGGCAGCGATGCCACGTGGATCACGCGCACATTCGGCACTTCCAGACTTTTCCATAATTTAGGATGCACAGGGATGAATTAAAGCAATTCCTTTTCCCAACAGGGTTTGGGACAGCCCTCAGCAGACCCTGAGGAAGAAGAAGTTGCTGCTTTCTGCCAGCAGTGGAGGAAAAACCTGACACAGCACAGAGCCAAGGAGGCTTTAAATTCCGACCGGGATGAATTAGGGCTCCGGAAAACTCGAGGGGCAAAGGCTGAGCCCACCCTGATGTCTCTGGTGCAAGAGCAATCCCCCTGGAGCAGGAATGTCCCAAAGCACCCCAGTCCTAGGAAAGGACACACAGTTATGGACAGACACCTGTAACCCAGAGAGGAGCTCCGTGTCCCAGTGGCACTGGAAGCAGAGCAGGAATACTTTGCAGCGTGAAGGATTCATGATGGAGTTTTTCACCGCGGCAGGAAAACCTCGGAACAGGCTCCGTGGGGAGGCCAGGAGTCTTCTGGTGAGTGTTTTACCCCCAGCTGCTGAGATGGGGTGGATGGGGCTTTGGAGAATCCCGATCCAGTGGGAGGTGTCGGAGGTGTCCCTGCCCATGGCAGGGGGTGGAATGGGATGAGTTTAAGGTCCCTTCCCATCCAAACTGATCCAGGATTCTGTGATCCAGAGATGCTCAGGCTTTCTGCCATCTCTCCACCTTTCCTGCTTCACCCGGCCATGGATGCAGCAGTGGGGAGCGTTCTGTCTCACCTGCTGGCCCTGAGCCTGCAGATTGCCTCCCAAAATCCCACTGGGCCCCAGGACTCTCTCCCATCCACAGTAAACATTCAGTCCCCGAGATCACCTACCTCACAGCTCCCAGAGTATCCCAGACTGCTGCTCCTCTGTCCTGGCTCTCCACATCCATCCTTCCCAGCCTCGGGATCACGAGCTGTCCAATGGCAGCGCTGCTCCGTGCTGCAATTCTGCAGGAGAGGTGGAAAGGTGCCACCGTGGAATTCCCTGTGGAATACACAACTGGCACAGCAGATCACAACTGGCTCCATGGTGGCTGCAGCCCATTCCAGCCCCCCTTGGTGTCCCACCTGCATCCCAAACACCTTCCCCCGACCAGGAATTCCACTACTTGCGTGGCAGCAAGGAATCTCCTCCGCATTCCCAGGAAAAGCAGCAGCAGGCGCACCGGAGACTCTGGGAAGACAACTGCAATGGATAAAGCAGGAGGGGAGGGAAGGGAGGGAAGGAATGACACATGGAGACAACAGGCTGTGAGGACTCACAGGCCTCTGTATCCATGCCATTTCCACACTATTTTTCCCTGCTGGCTCCGTTTTTTGAGGAAAACCTTGAGCAGCCGCTCCAGAGAGTGGATGAAGAAATAACAAACTACTAACAAAGGACTAATGGATTACTCCAAAACAACCACCCAGTTCCACATCCATTCTCTACTCCTCCAACCCAAAGGAAATCATGAAATTAACGGAATTCACGCTCTGGGAAATCAGGAAGGCAAAGTGAAGCCGGGATTGCCTTCGGAGATGGCTCCTGTGCCGTGCAGGAATCACCAGCTTCCCTCGGCTCATCCAAAACCTCAGAACTTGGGATAAAGACCCTGCAGGCAGCACATTTTTATGGAAAGGCAGCTGGCTAGGAACAACTGCACTTCTTCCTCTGGAGAAAAAGCAGCCCCAAAGGCAGGACAAGAGCTCTGGAGGCCAGCTGTGCTCTGCCATGCAAAACCTGGGGAATCCAAGACACGCAGGACGCTCCAGGATGGAACACGGCAGCTCCCTCCGTGAGACCTCGGGATCAGGTACAAGGTTACGTTAAAACCCCACAAACCATCCCAAAAAGCCCGGCTCTAGTCCCCCACCGGCACGCACATGGAGTCGTCACCAGGAATTAACTGTACCCTTTTTAATTGTTTTGTTAAAAATGTCGTCGAGACACCATGAATACAAGTACTGCAGTTACAGCCATACAAAAAAAGCAATACAAATTAAGCAGCTGAATACAAAAATACGTTGAAATACATGAACACCACAATGGAACTCGGAGCACTAAATCCCAATCGTGTAGGCGTGGAAAAAAATTAAATAAAAACCTTTTTTTTCGTTTGTTTGTTTTTTTTTGTTTTTCCTTTTCGTATTAGACAATGTAGTTTTCTCCACTTTGAACAGTTACTTTTGCTAGTTATGTACTTCACAATTTCTTCTATGTACAGCATAGAATAAAATACTTTCAAAAGATATGACATTTTTCATCCTCAATATGTGATATAGTCTCTTTTACACTAATATCGACTGCAGGAATAAAAACTGTCCGTGTCTTACATCGACTCATTGGAAAAGGAGGAGCGACGCTTTCCTCTGGATTCATTTCCGTGGGGTTTTCCATCAGTTCGGGGGTTTGGCAGTCCTGGAACGGCATCTCTCCCGGGAATTCATGTACATAATATTGCTTGGATCTATACAAATGTGGCAATCGGATCTAAGTGGTACTTGGGAAAGAGGCAGCTCACACATATACAGCTCTGGGAATTTTCCATGACTTATTTACAATGAAAGTGCTTTTCTCAGCTCTAACACGATCCGGGGGGGGGAATTGGTTTTCTTTTCTACAGGTCAATTATTAGTCTCCCTGAAATTGGAAAGAAAAAGGATTCTCTAGAAAATACCACAGCCTTGCAAACACTCGAGCGTACTGGAGAACTGCGTGTGGTTCGGAGATTAGCAGCTGAAAAGTGGTGGGAATTATAATTTAAAAATAAATAAAGCCAAAAGAGGTAACCCAGGTACAAAACAGCAGAGAACTGCAATACCCACGACGGTAAAAAGACTCCAAAGCCATCTGCTAACAAAACGGGGAAGCGGTTGGATCGAAAGTCTTGAAAACATCTTTTAAGGATTTGTCATCCGACTCCCCGTTGGGATCGCTCTCCGGGGCCTGCGTTACCTGTCCGGGCTGCCTCACCTGCCGGGGGTCGCTGTACTGCGGCCGGATCAATCCCGACAGAGCCTGGATCGGGAGATTGTGGACGGCAGGAGCGGCGCTGGAGTGTTTAGCCTGAGATTTATTGGTGCTGTTCGCCTTGTCTGAAGCGCCTTCCGCCGATCCTTCCGTGGCTTTTTCCGCGTTGGAGGCGGCCTTCTGCTGGGACGCGTCTTCCGCCAGACTCGCCTCGTTTTTACTGGAATTTTTCAAAATACTTTTTTTCTGGTTCTCTCCGTTCTCTCCCGAAGCGGCCGGAGCCGTGTCCGAGGATGAGCTGTGATCCCTGGGATCGTACAGGCTGATCCCGCTCAGGATGGAGCCGGGAGATCCCAGCCTGACGCCGCTGGACGACAATTTGGGCGCGTACGGAGGCAGAGCGTCGGGGTCGGATTTCGGAGTCGCGGCTTCCGAGGGCTGGGATGAGCTGGCAGCAGCTCTGGCGAGGCGGGGGTCAAACTTGGGAGGGTGGGAATCCTTCCCGACTCCGTGGTGAGCGTCCGCGCTCGACAGTCTGTGGAGCCTGGGATCGACGTTCTTTTGCAAGCGAGGATCCCCCAGTTTGCTGGAGCTACTGGCATGGGAATCTGTGGATGGATCCAGGTAGCCGCCCCGGCCCGCCAGGCTGTTTTTGGCCTTGGCAGCGAGCCGGGGATCGGCCGGCACGGCGCCGGGGTGCGGATCGTTCTTCAGATTCCGCAGTTTGTTCAGTCTCTGGTCGGCGATGAGCGGAGGGAGGGGTAAATTGATGGAAGAGACGGGGTCGGGTTTAGGCAGCGGGATCGGGAGCAGGTCCTCGGGGGCCCACACGATGTGCTTGGCAAAGTTGGGTTTCATCAGGGTCACGTCCATCTTGATGTGGCTGAACTGCCGCAGCTGGGAGCGGGGATCCCGTAACGTGACGCCCGGCAGAGGTTCCATGGGAATGAGGAAAGCTCGTTCCCTCAGCTCCCTCTCCGAGTCCTCCTCATCATCGTCCAGCCCTTTCTGCTTGACCTTCACTCCGGCGTGGTGCAAATCCAGCTTGGGCCCGGCCAGGGAGGAGCCGGGATGGCCGCCCTCGCTGACCTTGTGCATCCGCGGATCGCGGGCCAGCCGGGGATCCAGGGACGCCGACTCCGAAGGCTTCCTGGGATTGGGCCTCGGGGAGCCCCGCAGTCTCGGGTCAGCAGCCTGAGGCCCCACTCCTTTGTCCTTGGCCAGCCTCGGATCCGTAGGCATCCCAAGCATGTGCTGCTCCGTGGAATGTTGTTGCCGATTCCTAAAGTTTTCGCTTTGTTTCTTTAAGGTTTTGAGGATTGATTTAACACTGCTCCCCTCTTCCTCCTCACTACTGGAATACCAGTTGACATTGTCATCTAAAAGTCAAAGAAATGCCACAAAATTTAGATTATTCCAGCAAATAATCCTTGGAGAACCCAACACTCCCTAACGGGAAACTTCTCAGTAAAGTCAAAGTGAAAAGATCTGCTATAAAATCTCTCCCTGCATCATAAAAATCACACCCTAAAATGACCAAAACCCATTTAACCGGAGAAGTGCCGGAACAACAAACCCTGGAAGTAGTGGAGACAGAATGTGACACAGCTTGGGAGTCTCTCCATATCCCCCAATAATAATTTGGGAAAATAACCTGCTTTCAAACAATCCTTGTCAGTACTAGTGAAAAACCCGTATCCAAAATCTGAGTCTTGATGGGAGAAGGAAAAATAAAATGGGCCCTTGCAGTGGTCTTTAATCCAGGTAAATTATGAATTTGCTGCCTAACTTAAACCAAATTCCAAAGTTTGCAGGACAGGCTGAGATTCAGGAAGGGAAGAAATGGCAATGTTTTATTTTAAAGGCAATCTGAGAAGGAAAAATCCTGCTCTAGAGGAAACAGATCAAGAGGTGCCGCTGAAGAAATAGGATCGAGGACACACTTCCAGTCCTGGCAGCGATAAACAGCCCCTCTGCTCCAGCAAGGGATTTTTCCAAAGTAATCATCAACCAAAGGACCTTTTAAAATTATTCGCTGGAACTAGGATGGACTGAGCCTACGCTAAGATCCTAGAACCAGCTGGGAAGAAGAGCTGAAAACACTGAACTGCTGCTTGGACTTAGTTCCCAAGAACTGTGAACAGTGACACGGCGCGAGTCAACATCAACCGATTTGTTGACCGTGGCCATGGAAGTACGACGAGAATTCCAACCAAATGCTGCTCACCTTCATCTTTGCTCATGGCCCTCTGTCCCTGGCTGCTGGCAGAGTCTCCATCCCGTTGGTGCTTCTGGCTGAGCCTCACGTACAGGGCCTTCTGCATGGCGGGCAGGAAGTCGGGCACGTTGATGCCCTGGTTGTGGCCCATGTGGCCACCTATGCAGTCCGACTCGCTCCCGCCCGGATGCGACTCTGGAGCCATGAGGTGAGCCTGGTGATCCGTAAACTCTCCATGCCACGCTCCATCTGCGGGACAAAACTCCGGTTAGTGGTTAAGCTACAGAAATGTCGATGGCTATAAACGTGGAATCGTGGAATGGACTGGGTTGGAAAGGAGCTCAAAGGACATCAAGTTCCAAGCTACGGCAGGGACACCTTCCCCTATCCCAGGCTGTTCCAAGCCACATCCAACCCATCGAACATTTCCAGGGATGGAGCAGCCACAGCTTCTCTGGGAAAAACTCTGCCAGGGCCTCCCCACCCTCACAGGGAAGGATTACTTCCCAATAGCCCATTTCAACCTAAAGTGTAACTTGATTTAACAGCACCAGCTGAGAAGCCAGAACGCTGAAGACATTCCAGGAAGTTTCTATCCAAAATTCATCCAGCAGACGTCCTTACCTCCGGAATTATTGGCTGGCTGGAAGTTGTGCACAGCTTGGTGGGAATAATAGTTGTCATAGAAGTCGGCCGGGTTCTGCATGGGCTCGTACTCCCCAGGCATCTGCTGGTACTGCGGCCCCGGGGGACAGTGATTGTCCCTTGGCATGTTCACCATGTGTCCCTGCACTCCGGGGGAATTGTAGGATCCCCCCATCCCTGGGGGGGTGAGGGGTGGCCCACCCTGCTGGCCCTGCATGGGCATTCCAGTCTGGTTCTGCGGGCCCATGTATCCTGGGGGAACGCCCTGCATGGGGGGGCTCTGCGGCATTCCTGGCCCCTGGGGGCCCCCGCAGGGATGGTGCCCGGGAGAACCGGGGTGCATCGGGGGCCCGTTGTGTCCCTGGGACATGCCAGGACCCGGCCCTGGGCTGGAGCCTGGATTGTACATGTGCTGGGAATGTGGGTCGTTGCCCTGGAACGGCGGCCGCGGCGGGGACGCGCTGTTGTAGAAGGTCGGCGGCCTGGAAGCACAAGAAAATCAAGGAATCAGGTTCTGGACCTCCAAACACCAACAGCTGGATCTCTTCGCCCCCTCCCGCTCTTACTTGACCTGACATTGGATAAAATTCCCAAAGGAGCATCATTTTCCAACTACACCCATTCCACATTCCTCACCTTGGCCAAGACCATGTTTTTTCCAGTATTTGCTCACCTCCATCAGTTCTGCCACAAAAAACCCAACTACAAAAAGACTGGGGCAGGGAACAAACTGCTCCACCTGCAGATGGAGATGCCAAACCAAGACTTCTGGGAGGTCAGGCCTAAATTCCTTTCCATGGAAAACATGAAATAATCCTGGTATCAACTGTCTGATCCTTAACTTAGCCCAGAATCCTGACAGGAACAACGATTAAAGATTAAATGATAAATATCCAGGAGAGTTCTCCCCAGAATCCCAACACTTACTTCTTCCCAATTTTGTGTGCCAAGTCCACCGTGGGCTTCACAACGATTTCAAAAAGAGACGGGATTTTCTTATAATCTCCTGAAGGATCCTGGTAATTTTCCATGTCGGACTCGGAGAAGGGATATTGCTCCGGGGGGGTTGGCAGGAGTCCGACCCCCGGCGGGGGTTTGGGGAGAGGAACAATGCCCCGCTTCCGGAGTTCCTCCAGCTCCTTCTCATCTTCATTCTGGGGTTCCTCCTCATTATTCAGAACCTGCAAGAAAGCCACGTGGTGAACATTCCATCGATTTTCCAGTATTCCAGTTCGAGTCAATCTTGTGCCTTTCACTGGGATATTATTTCCATATTTAAATAAACAACTTTCCTGTCATCTACTACAATACTGTTGGACATTGACATCCAACCCAAAGGAATTCCAAACCCATTTTTGGGAGCTGTTTTCCAGGACACCAAATCCCAGCCAAGAAAATACTTCTTTATTTCAGGAA